ACTCTATCTGACTCTATCTGACTCTTTCTAACTCTATATGACTCTATATAACTCTATCTGACTCTATCTGACTATTTGACTCTATCTGACTCTATCTGACCCTATGTGACTCAATTTGACTCTGACTATCAGACTCTATCTGACTCTATTTGACTCTATTTGACTCTATTTGACTCTTGTGTTTCATAAACAGTCGATTTAAAAGTTCTGCTTGCTCAGTAACCAAATACCAACAGTGAAGGTTTGAAACAGAAAATCTCTTCTGCAGGCGGCAGACTGAACGTTACTGAAGGCAAACATGGCCCAAACCTGATTTCTTTATTTCAATTCAGTTTATTTTAAAAGCGTCAAGTCACAACAGAAGCCGTCTCGGGTCACTGAACAGAAACATTCACATACAGTAGTCTCGTTTATCGTGGGGGTGTGGGACCACGTCCCCCCACAAAAAGTAAAAAAAACGCGAAGTAGGGATACAGTACTTCAAGTTAACTTTATTGTCATTACCCAACAATGTTCAGTCAGGTTATCTGGACAGTTTCTTTTTTTGTGCTGAGACGTTTCGCCTTCCATCCAGAAGGCTTCATCAGTCTGAGGAAACACCAAACAAAACTGATTCTCCCCCAACAGCTTACTCCAAAGTGGGAAAAAAACAAAAAACAGTTATGTTGGTGCTAAGATGGCCACTGGGGCACGCCCTCTCCTCTGGTGCCCGCCCTCTCCCTTGTTGACAGTCATGTCAAACTGGTTCAAAACACCAAAGTCCATGCTCAACAGTTTGTTGTTTCCTCAGACTGATGAAGCCTTCTGGATGGAGGCCGAAATGTCTCAGCACAAAAAAAGAAACCGTCCAGATGACCTGACTGAACATTGTTGGATTTTATACCAGGATTATTGAGCATGGACTTTGGTGTTATTGTCAGTACCATCTCATGTGGTACATGAGATGGAACAAAATTATGTACACAAGTAGTAAGTAGTAGTTTATTTTAGTATTTATACACAGGTATATATTAAGGTGTTTTAAATCCTTCCCACACTCTTGCAATGTCCCCAACAACTTTCTAAACTCTAAAAGCGCTAAGGGGGACAGCATGTCATGATCTCAGCTCTCTGCCTTCGGCTGCTCTCTGCCACGCCCACTTCTGCGCTGCAGAGCGGAGAAGCTGAAGGCGGAAGCTTCTCCTGCAGCTGTGGGCTGCACCCAGGTGCAGCAGGTGATAAATAATTTAAAATAACTTATTTTAAATAAAAACTCTATGCCGGTCGTGCGGCTCATCCATCAGTCAGCCAATTGTGTGTCATGTCCAATCTTACTTAGAAAAACCGCGAAAGAGCGAGTCCGTGAAAAATGAAGCGCAAAGTAGCGAGGGACTACTGTACATAAAAAAATACAGCGCCTGGCCAAAAAAAAAAAAAAAGTCTCCACCTGGATTTAACTAATCAAACAGGTACGAGCCTCCTATTGGATAATTACTGCATGGGCGATTATCTTTCAGCTGCAACAAGTTATTTAACCCCAACTGGTGCAACGAGTTGCTTCTCATTTCTTGAACAACCATAAAGACACATGGCGTGGTCATGGAAAAGATGTCAGTCTGTTTGAGAAGGGTCAAATCATCGGCATCAAGCTGCGGAAACATCTAAGGAGATTGCAGAAACTACTAAAATTGGGTTAAGAACTGTCCAACGCATTATTAAAAACTCGAAGGATAGTGGGGAGCCGTCGTCTTCGAGGAAGAAATGTGGCCGGAAAAAAATCCTGAATGATCGTGATCGGCGATCACTTAAACGTTTGGTGAAATCAAATGGAAGAGAAACACCAGCAGCACTCAGGGCTGTGGTTAATAGTGAAAGTAAGAACATTTCCACACGCACGATGTGAAGGAACTCAAGGGATTGAGACTGAACAGCTGTGTAGCCTTAAGGAAACCACTAACCAGTGAGGCTAACTGGAAAAAAAGGCTTCAATTTGCTAGGGAGCATAAAGATCGGACTGTGGAGCAATGGAAGAAGGTCATGTGGTCTGATGAGTCCAGATTGACCCTGTTCCAGAGTGATGGGAGCATCAGGGTAAGAAGAGAGGCAGGTGAAGTGATGCACACATCATGCCTAGAGCCTGGTCATCAATGCAAGATCTTGGTGAAAAATTAATGCAACACTGGATGGAAATAGATCTTGTGACGTTGCAGAAGTTTATCGAAACAATGACACAGCGAATGCATGATGTGATCAAGATAAAGGTGGTCCAACAAAATATTAGTGTGACCTTTTTTTGGTGGTGACTTTTTTTTGGCCAGGCGCTCTAAGTTAACATTATTTATCTAAGGAGCAGCTTTGAGTTTAACTCCATCACAGAACTCTCATGTTGAGCAAGCATGAAGGCGACAGTGGAAAGGAAAAACTCTCATGAGGAAGAAACCTTCAGCAGAACCAGGCTCAGGACAAGCGGCCATCTGCTTCGACCGGCTGGGTTTGAGAGGAACAGATACACAATGGCAGGTCAAGAATTACATGTTAAGATAGAAATAGTATCAAATGAAAACTATTCAGTTTTAGCAAATCATTTAAGGAAATGAGGTCAATTTGTCCTCCAGTAGTCTAAGTCTATAGCAGCATAACAAGCCAACCCTAACTATAGGATTTATCAAAAAGGAAAGTCTTAAAACTGGACAATGTGTCAGCCTCACAGACAGAAACTGGAAGTTGGTTCCACAAGAGAGGAGCCTGAGAACTGGAAGATCTTCCTCCCATTCTGCTTTTAGAAACTCTAGAAATCACGAGTAAACCTGCAGTCTGAGAGCAACGTGCTCTGTTAAGAAAATATGGAACAATAAGAGCTGTAATATAACATGGCTCTAGGTTGTTGAGGTCTTTGTAGGTTAGAAGTAAGTTTATGACGCCTGACAAATCAGATCTTTTAAATCTTTTCCATCTGTGGCACTAAATCGGATCCATATCTGATGTTTTTCAAAGCAGCCTCAGTCTGAACGGTCGAGTCGTATTTCAGCCGATCACAGGCCCACCTTCTCTAACCTCTGCGCCACCACTCCCCTGGTGATGTGCACAAAGATAAAAAATAAATAAATAACAGCTTCTCTGACTGAAAACCTCGGCTGCACAAAGTCACCACGGGGGGGCAGTCCAGGCTTCTGTGCACCGTTGTAATTTAGTAGAAGTAAATCGTTACGTAACCAGAAAGAGTTTAAAGAAACAGCCTTCCTGGAGATTTTTATTGTGTGTTGTCACTACGTGAGCTAAAACTAGAAACAACCAGCGAGTTTTGTTATCTTTGTTTTTCCTCTAAACGCACATCGACTTTCCTTTGAACAGACAAATAAAAAAACGTATGTTTCAACTGTTCCCGCACAACAGAAGGCTGGTCGGTTCGGGTTTAAAGAGAAACTTACTGTCGGATCTGAAGGCGACGGGCAGCCTGCGAGCGCCATCCAGAGACTGCACCTGAAAACAAAGAGCAAAACGTAACTTTTATAAGCAAGTTTAAAGATTACAGCCGCTTGGAGTCATTTGTGTGAGAATAAAGTTAATCAACTTTGAGGAAACTAAATGAAACACCGAATTAAATTGTGTTTTCATTATGATTAGGAGACAAAATTAAAGAGGAATAATGCAAAAACAAATTACAGAACTAAACAGTAATTTTAAATCAAATCCTATTTAAATTCATTCACACACATAAGTAAGATTCTTTCGGCTGCTCCTTCTTCAAGGCGACGTCGCCACAGCGAGCGAACTCACAAGACAGATTTGGCGATTTGATTTACGCCAGATGTCCTGTCTGACGCAACTTGGGCTTGAACCCACAACCTCAGGATGCCAAGACCGTGGCGCTGACCACCGAGCAGGAATCGTACCTTATTTTGGCACGTTCAGCCTTCCATACCCCGGCTCAACTTAACAAGCCTTATTTTATAAAATCAGACAGAACATCTGATGTTCTCCGAGATCTTTAAGGTGCCGCTTCTTTCTTAACTTTGGACTCTCTTGAGTTTTATAGGCCTCACATAGTCCCCCCCCCACTGCCCGCCACACACACACACACACACACACACACAACTTTCCTGTTAGGCTTGTTAATGGTGTCAGACTGGAGGTCGCATGCAAAAACCAAGACTGCACACCTGAAACAAATCAGACAGACACCCAGCTGTGTGTGAGCGCACGTTACGGCTGCAGTTTGCCCATTAGCAGCCGCTGCAACACAACAACACATGCAAACACGTGCACACGTGTGTGTAATTACACAAAAGCTAAGATGCTTGTTGAAGAGCTGCATTCCTCAGGCCTCGAGTCAAACGTTAAAAAGATGCACTTTTAATGAAAAATCAGGAGAAAAACAAACTCTTCTGGAACGCGTCGCATCGTCAACACACTTCGCCTTCGGTTTGCTGCTGACCTTTGACCTTTAGGGGTTTACACACCGCTGCGTGCTCAGATGTCCCGCTGGCAACACGAACTGAGGAAGTTAATTAAAATCAAAGGCAGAATTTTATTGAGGGGGGGAAAAGAAGAAATTTATTGCAGTGAAGCACAAAGCTTCTCCTTAAGGCTGATGTGGACACAACGTTTCCAACAACACGGTAAAACGTAAATAAATAAAGAGATTTAATCGGGTAGACTGGTTTATTTAGAGTTTTAGAGGTTTCTCCACGATCGCTTTACAGCAGCAAATACATCTTTAAGGAAGGGTTTTACTTTTCTAGGATCTCACAATGCAAACAATACGTTCACCTCCCAAAATAAAAGCTTGTAGTTTATTTTTGGTTGTGATGACAGCAAATCAAACTTTTAAACAAAACAAAATAAATCAAAGTATTCAGGAGCTGTGAATTTCAAGAAGTTTAGACGTCCCAGCTTCACATCACGATGGTTTAGACCCGTCAATTAAAAATGTTTTCAATAATTTCCAGCTTCCTGCAATTGAACAAAGTTAATTTGGACTTTCTAAACACACACACTGAAAACATTCTCCACCTTCAGAGGTCGTCTACGAGTCTTTTTTAGTAGTCTGAACATAATGAACTAAAAATAAAAAGGTCTGCTGCGATGCCATGTTCAGAAGATACAACTTGTTGGGTTTTTTCTTCAGCTAAAAGTTTAAATGAACTATTTATTAGGCCTGTCGCGATAAACAAGAAACTAATTATTCACACGATAAATGAAAATTATCTACCTCGTTTTCATTTATCGGCTTTATCGTTTCATCACATCTCTCTTTCTACTACTACGCTGAGAGGCTAAGCTACGAGCTAAGCTAACAGGCCGACCTCGGGAAAAAAACCTTCGTCTTGTCGAAGCTCCAAAATTCACGGTAGAAACTCGTGCCTTCGTGTAAAAAGTTGTTTTTCTCCGCAAAAAGAAGCTGAGAACTTGTTTACTGATTTTTTATTAAAAGCTTTGTGTGAAAAATGCTAAAGAGCTCAAACCACACCGAGCATCCGCCATTTTGAGAATCGAAGAGAGACACCCCATGTCACGTCAAGGGACCTCCCTCCTGTTTTTCTTAAAGAGACACGCTGCTCGCTCCCTCACTATCCATCCTTCAGTTTGGTTTTATACTGCCATCCGGTGGTCAAAAAAGGTACTACACACTAAACAAATTAAACATTTCTTCTTAAATTTGACAATAATTACCAATTATTGTCAAATTTCAAACAATATTATCGTTTATCGCAATAATTTCTGAGACAATTAATCGCCCATCAAAATTTGTTATCGTGACAGGTCTAGTATTTAATAAGTGTTTCAGTACAAATGTTCATTTTGTCTGCATTGTATTCATGTAAGTGGGCGTTGTACGGGCGAGTTTCTCTTTGTTCTGGTTGTTTTTGGACCCGCCGTGGTCAACCATGAAGAGCTGTTTCTATCAGAGGACGACGGTCTGAGCGGCGACACGTCGCGTTATAGTCACCGAATGTGTGAAGTGAAGGCGTTAGCACTCTGTGGAGCATTCAGAGTCACAATCTTCCATTTTCTCTTTGACGCTGAGCACTGTGGAGTCACCAGTTGCCTGTATTTCTTTTATATTGTTAAAGTATAAAACGGGACAACTCCAAAAAGTTCAACTCAAATGGCTCTGAATCGTGTTAATGTAAAACTTTAAACTTCAAAAATCTGACTTTACGGCACCATTTTTGAGTGAATCCTGCTGCGTTTGTGTACACGACAACAGCGCTGAAACAAACGCGATCTGAATCCAGGACACGGAGAGGAGGTTTTAGGAAATCCTCAGGCTGCGCGAGTAGATAAACAACAGTAGCTGAGAGTGCTGTTTGTGCTGATCACTCCTTTTAACTGTGTAGGATCAACCCAACCTCATCCTGGGTCCAAACAAACGTTAATCTATTTACCATTTCGGATGCAACAGTTTTCTTCCTCTACGCCAAAGTGTCATCTAAAAATCACAGCGCCACCTTGTTTCCCGGCATAAAAACTACAGCGCCTACGTCACCGTGTAAACGTGGGAAACAAACAAGGCTCCTTCCTGTGAACCCCAGACTGTATTTACGGCTGCAGACAACGTGTTCGGAGCCTCATACAACTAAACGAGGGGCCTTGCTGTTGTCTGTCGTAACCCAAGTGTTTGTTGGGAGGGACAAACAGCATCTGAAGCCCCTGCCCCCACACCAATTATCAGTTTCCTGAAAGTTTACGACGACACACGCTGTCTGAGAGGGTAGATGAGAGCAAACAGCACTTTAAAAAGAAAAACGGCATTTAATTCCCTTAAAAAGACTGTTTCCTACAAATCCCTGATGCAACAGCGACAACGGACTCCAGGAAAGGACATTTTAATGCATCTTTGCAACCTTAGCGGTTTGTAACAGGTTTAACGGTTTTTAACAAGATTAATCCTGTTCACGACGCTTTACAGCCTTTAAGTCTTTTGACATCGAACCTTTTAAGACCTGCAGGCAAGCCAAACTTTTAATGTTTCGCAGCAGAGTCCGGGCTCTCTTTCTTCCTGTTTCCAGGTGTTTCTTTCTAGCAATCATCATTACGTTAACTCCGAGTGCCTGCACAGCCCGAGGCGCGACGAGACAGAGGCGCACCGAGGAGAAAAGCTGCAAAACACCAGAGAGGAGACGGCAAACGGTCGTTATGGGACGCACGGGCCGTTTGTGCAACGTGACTCGTTTAACTCGCTTTCTACAGAAAACATAAACAGGTTTAACATGAGCTGCAACACTATAAACACAGGAAAAACAAAAAGCCTCAAACATCCCAGAGTTTCCCCCGGGAATCCCCAAACCACACAGACTCAGATCGAGCTCCTGTGGTAATCAGACAGCTAATTGCAGGCTCACTTAACTAAAACTGCAATTAATCAAAGCGAAGGAGGGAGGAGGGAAGGAAAGGATGTGAGGGAGGAGGATGCAGGAGATGTAATCAGTCAGCCTGCAGGGGAAGGAAAAGCAAAGGAAGGTGGAAAGAAGAGATGGAGGGATCTGATTAAACAGGAACTCCTTCATTTACGTATTTCCAGGTTCACGGAGCAGATTTCTGCTCGCGTCGGTTTGTTTGGAGGGGCCGGAGCAGTTCCAGATGTGGGACTAAACTCCCAGCTGACCTTTAATCAACGTGCAGCTAAAGAGCAGCTAGAGGAGGCAGGATTAGACGCCCGCTAATGAAGTACGCAGCAGAGAACATCCGTCAAGCTCCGAGCCGCGTCAACAGCTTGTTTATAACCGCGTCAGTGCTGATTCGGCCGTTTAGTTGTTTTGTTCCGTGCGTTCTTTTACAACAAAACTTGAAACCTTCAGCTCGTTCAGTCAACGGCTGTTGTGACTTTTGGTTTATGAAACCTTTATACTTTTCAAAAATATATTTTTCTTTCGGCTGCTCCTCCTTCAGGGGTCACCCCTGTGGACTAAGTCGCACGAAGACTTGGCGATTGTTTCTACGCCGGATGTTCTTCCTGACACAACCCAGACCACCGAGCTGCCACCGCCCTGTGTGTGGAGCAGAGAGCTGCCAGCTGGGGTGCCGGGGAGCAGATGGTGCGGGTCAAGGGCCCAGAGTGGGACAAATGAGGGTGGAGGCAGGTGTGGGTGCTTCACCTTTCCCACCCACATTTTGATGTAGTCAGTACGGGAAGTTGAACCGGCGATCTTCTGATCACAGGCCCACCATTTCTAAATAATATAAAAAGCTAAATTATATGTATGAAAAAATGCATTTAACATTTCTTCAAAAACTTTACTCTCTTCAAAATCTGCTTCGGCAAACTGCCTCCACTTTTTAGCTTCTTCTGCTGCTTTTAGCTTCAGTTCAGCTACTTCATCATCAGCTTTTTTCAAAGCTGCTTTTAGCTGTTCTTAAGTCTTTTGCTACATTAAGCTTCACCTCACATTTTGCAACTTTAGCTTTTAGTTAGCCTTTTGCAATTTCCAGCTGTTAGCTGACTTTTTGCTGTTTTAGCTTTTAGCCCCCCTTTTTCCTAGCTTCAGTTTTACCTTGCCTTTTCCTGCTTTTATCCTCTAGCTGATTTTAACCAGTCTTTTGCTACTTCAGCTTTAGCTAGCATTTTGCTAACATTAGGTTTACCTAGCCTTTTATTACTTTCAGCTTTACCTAACCTTTTCCTGTTTTTAGCTTCTAGCTGCTTTTAACTAGAATACTGATACTTCAGCTTTAGCCAGCTTTTAGCTACTTTAGCTTTACCTAGCATTTTGCTAACATTAGCTTTACCTAGCCTTTTGCTACCTTCAGCTTCAGCTAGCCCTTTGCTGCTTCAGCTTTTAGAAAGTCTTTTGCTACTTTAGCTTTGAGTTAACTTTTTGCTACTTACATATTTTCAGCTTTTAGCTGACCTTTTCTTGCTTTTATCTAAATCTTGCTACTTTGAACTTCTAGTTATCATTTTACCAGTTTTAGCTTCTAGCTGGCCTTTACTTCTTTTAGCTAGTGTTTGGCTTCATTTAGCTTGAGCTACTTAGTTCTGATGAATTCAGTATTTTCACAGATAATGTGCAACAGTCCTGCAGATTTTAGCTACGTCTTTTTAAGCGTTTTAAAGCTGTGACCCTCTCCTGTCGTGGTTTTCTGTCTGCTGTTAATAAAGTTTTAGAGTCCGATCCGAAGGCGAGGGATAATTCCTGCAGCGGCAAACTTCAAACAGCTCTGCGTCACCCGGTGGATGAGCAGGCTGCCTCACAGAGGAGCTAATGAGAACGTCTGGAGGTTTGAAAACGAACATTATCCAAGTCGGAGCATGTTAACAGAGATGTTCTGTTGTAATCACAGGCAGCGCACGTTTACGGCTCCTCCACGGCGGAGCGGGAGAGAAACGCTGCAGTTCGCTCGTCTGAAGATGTCAGGATGCAGCTCAGGCACATTCCTGAAAGCAGAAGAACTTAAAGGAGCTTCATCAAATTATTTATTTGGCACTGAAGGACCTGAACCAGGTTTAGTTTAAAGGTTTTAAAACCTCGCTGAGAACCGAGGGGAGGAATGTGTTTGTGGGACACTGATGAGGGGGTTTTCATGAGAAGGCCTCGGGGCTAAAAACTCCGGCCTGCTCCTTAATGTCTTCCTGTCTGTTACACATGGACCTTCAAACACTTCCAGATGGGAGGACACGGCAGCGCCGGGGCCCCATCAGCTGCTGATAAGACGGTCCAAGATAAAAGTTTACCTGATTTGGGTTTAATGAAGCGTCACCGTCTGAAACCAGCGTCAGAGGAGTTAAATATAAAAGTCACAGAGTTGGTCTGTGAGCTTCATGCATCGCGTCATCAGCTCTCCTGACGAGAACACGTGGACTCTGTGGTAAAAATCTAAAACGGTTGCATAAATAAATAAGATGGCTGCGCGAGGCAGCAAAAGAACTCGAAGGTGCAAGTATGTTCTCAGTTACAAGTTACTTTACAAAGTTGATTTTGCTTGTCTGAGGCGGTGCAGAGTGACGGATCCTGGCGAGCGGACGGATTTTAACCACCAGGTGCAGTGGAGGAGCCAGGGGGCGGCCAACGGTGGCCTTGGCCCTCAAGATTAATCTTTGTCCACCCCAATCGTTTAAGGAAACAACTTTTAACCAACAAAAAAAACTACAAAATCAGTTTCCTCAAAATGTGCTGCAGGGCAGAATAATGGTGGTGGACATCTTGGATTTTTATGTGGCAACCCAGTTTTCGATGGTGACCTTTGAAAACGTCTTGATGCAGCCACGCCCTAAAACAGAAGTTAGCACGTTGCTTCATTTGGACCATATCATTTGAGGAAACTAAACTTTTAAGCAATATTAAAACTAGAAAGCGTAGATTCCTCAAACGATCGGGGTGGCCGGTTTAGATACGGTGGTGGCCATCTTGAATTCTGACGTGGCAACCCAAAACCACACCCGGAGGATTAACTTGGCGCAACTCAACTGTTAGACAGGTTTTCACTGAACTATTTGTTGGAACTAACCACAACAATCCCATATTTTCTGTAATCCAGCCTAAAATAAAGAGTTGTAAACGTTAAAAACACCTTTCTAATTGTTTTCAGGTAAAACAGCTCAAACGTCCTGACTGGACTTGACAACGAGCGCGCTCTCGTCCCGAGCTGCGTCAAAGATCAAACGATTCCTGAAAATCACGACGGCAGAAACTTCGGTCTGGACCTGATTTTAACTTCTGATCAGCTGATCTCAGATCAGCAGCAAACACAGAAACTAAAAAGACTGAAAACCAAAGTGAGGCGAAACAATACGACCACTGCGTGTGCGTGTGCGTTCAGGAGCAGCCAACCAGAGATTTCCCACCGCAGGAACAAAACCTGCAGCTTCCTCCTCCTGCATGACTGCTCCTCAATGCCCCCCTTCCCCTTCATCAGAACTCCTCCTCCTCGCCCAGGAGGAGCTGCTCCTCTCCTGCTGGGATGGTTTGTCCTTTAAAAGGTTTTCCCTCGCTCGCGACACAAAGACCGAATCGGTACAAATCCTGGTTTCTTTAGAGACAGCAGAACCTGCTGAGTGAAGGTCCAGAGTCATGTGACCTGCAGGTACGACGCCAGAAATCCCTCAAAGCTGAGGGCGAAAAACAAACGCTGCCTTCAGCTCGTTTCGATTCACGGCCTTTTAATTAAAGAGCCGAACGTTTCTGGAAAGAATCAACAGCCCCCTCTGCCTTTTAAGCCAAAGTTCTGAACTAAAATAATCTCGTGGTTAAAAATTATGGACTTGAAACTTTTCTGATAATCTCATCATTAAATGAGGTTTGAATAAGTCTCAGCTACTACCACCTGGAATTTTAGCCCAACAGCTATAAAACTGACTGAATTGAAGCCATTTTTATGTTTGCTAAAGTTGATGGGCTGTGGCGGCCATCTTGAATTGGATTGACTCCAAACATTAAACCGTTATAGAGGAACATCCAATAAATATTTCCTGAAAGTTTCGTTAAAATCCATCCTTTGGTTCATGAGATATTTTGCTAACAGACAAAGAGGATCAACTCCAGCAGGTAATGCTAAACAAACGTGTTATGGATCACTCTCTGTTACTACCACACCAAGTTTTAGCTCATATCTGGTAAACTGACTGGGTTATATCCATTTCTGTGTTTGCTAGGATCAGTTGGCTGTGGCGGCCATCTTGAATCCTTACAGGGGATGCTGCAGGAGAGAAAAGATGTAAAACTAATTTTTCCACAGAAATCCTCGGAGGACAACAATAAAAATGACTTTTCTTCGGCTGTTTTTATGTCAGAGGGGGGATCCGGCCTTCAGCCAGATTCCTTGACCTGAGATGCAGAAAACATGTGTTCCCCATCGGACGCCTCCCAGCCGTGACCACCTGACGCCAAAAACACGCCGACGTCCTGGAAGACGATGTGACGGCGTCACGGAGCGGAAGCCTCATTCCAAACGACGGCAGGTCGAGTCCGAGGAGAAGAAAAATGACAAATGCAGAGGAGGCGGAACCATTTCCTGAGATTTGTCCTCGGAGACGGACGTGATCCGTCCAGCAGATGTTGGACAGAAGAATAAATCTCAGACTTTCTTTTCACCGATTCCTAAAAAACATCTGCGGACGTGTCCACACGACCAACTCTAAAGTGGTAGAGCGGTTCAGTGCTGCAGACTTTGTCCTATTTTAGCCATTTATAAATCAAAACATTCAGCTCGTTCAGCAGATTCAGCCGTGACCTTCGGTTATTGTGTGGTGATACTTTTTTTAATGTTATTTTAGTTAAAGACAAACAGAAAAGCATCATTTTAAGACCTTCAACAAACAGCTCTGGTTTGGTCTTTGCTACTTTTAGCTTTTACCAACCCTGTTGCTAGTTTTAGCTTTTAGCTAGCC